GTTATCTCAGATTCTCCAGCATTGGCAGTTCCTACTATCTCTGGATATCCTTTCCAAGTTGGGTTTGTGGCGGGGAACTTGCAGGTGGTGATGTTCCCATGTGTCTTCTGCCTTTGTCCTTTCGGATGGTCGAGATCGTGGGTTTGGATGGCAAGATTACTTGTCATTATCACTAGTTGTGGGACCGTGCTGTATTTAAATAATGGGTTTAAAGCATTACCTCACAGAATACAGTTTGCAAGTATGCACTGGATATAACGGCCTTTGCCATGACGTGGGCATGAAAGGAAATTGTATCAATGCCAGTTCTGTCTTTCTTTGGGACCTCCTCAGCTGGTTCACCTTCCTGGTAACTGGCTGTAGGGTTTGTGATTGGAATGTTTGCTGTTGTTGATGGATGACTAAGTCTGTGCACAGCAAAAGCAACGTACCAAAAGTGGCTTTAAGTGGTCTTAATGTGGCTTGTCCTAACAATGCTGCAGACCCATATGAGAACAAGTAGAGGGCTTGGCTACAAGTAAACCTGACCCATCTGGGAGGAAGAGTGCTGGAAGACATTGATACAGCACCCTTTCCAAAGCAGGAGGGTTAACCTTAAAGTTAGAGCTAGCCTGTTCAGAAGTGAAATAGATGCACCATAGAAAGCATCCTATCTGGATGCATCACACCTCGGTATGGTAACTACCCTGCCCAAGACCGCAAGAAATTACAGAGTTGTGAACATAGCGCAGTCCATCATGAAAACCAGCCATCCATTGACTTGTCTACACTTCCTGCTTCCTCAGGAAAGGAGCCAGCATAATTAAAGACCCCTCCCACCCCAGTTATCACCTCTTCCATCAGGCAGAAGATACAAAAATTTGAACACACATACCAACAGATTTAAGAACAGATTCTTCCCTGCTGTTAGCAGACTTATGAACAGACCTCTCAAACATTGGAGTTGATCTTTTTCTGCACCTTCTCTGTAGCGGTAACCCTATCTTGTGCATTCTATTCTGTTACCCGGATGTACTTATGCAAGTTATATTTTGACTGGTTAGCTCACAAAACAATACTTATCACTGTATCTCAGTACATGTGACAATAATAGATCAAATCAAATCAAATCAAAGCGAAAGGTCTAATCAATTCTTCATGGAGGGGATTGTGGTGTTAGGAGTGGCTTGTGGAAATGTGGAGCTCTTTCCCCACAATTGATTTGGAATTTTATGGCTAAATGGAATTAAGGTGTAGATCAGCCTGATCTAACTTTTTTTGAGTTTTTTTAAATTCACTCATGGGTTGTGAGTATCACTGGCTGGGCCATCCCTGGATATCCTTGGGTACAATATAATAGCTTTCTAGGCCTTTGCAGAGGGCTATTAAGAGTGAACCACATTGCTGTGGATCTGGAGTCACTTGCAGGTCAGACCAGATAAGGATGGTGGATTCCTTCCCTAAAGGATGTTAGTGAACAGGATGGATTTTACAACTATCAACAATGGTTTCGTGGTGATTACTGGATTTTTAATTCCAGTCTTTTTAAAACTTTAATTCAAAAGTCACCATTTGCCTTGGTGGATTTGAATCTTGGTTGCCAGAATATTCATTGGATTATTTGTCTAATGACAAAACTGTTAGTCCATTGCTTCCCCAAATCAACTGGTGGAACAGGTTCAAGAGCACTGAATGGGCTCTTTGTAACTGAACATTTAGAATCCCTACAGTGGCCATTTGGCCCATTGAGCCTGGGCTGACCTTCTGAAGAGCATCCCATCTTATTCCCATATTTCCCATGGCTCATCTGCCTAGCCTGCACATCCCTTGACACAATGGGCCAATTTTACACTGCCAGTCCACCTAACCTGTGCATCTTTGCAGTGTGGGAGGAAACCGGAGGAAGCCTACACAGACGCAGGGAGAGTGTGTAAACTCCACACAGACAGTTACCCAAGGCTGGAATTGAATCTAGGTCTCTGATGCTGTGAGGTAGCAGTGCTAACCACTGAGCCAGCATGCCACCCGTAACGAGGCAAAGTTGAGCATGTGGATGATACAGATGAACATTTTCTCAACGCACACTATAACGATTCAGCTTGTTCCCAGTAACACCGTTACCAGTTTGTTGGAAGGGTGAAATTATGGGGAATCTGCGCTGCTCTAATGAAGCCATTTAAATTTTTTTCCTCATTGGCAAATGTTTCTGCTTGATATTTGAAAGGGCATGCTTTGGTAACAATCCGCTTTGTTTAAATGGGGATGGCTTAAAATTGGATTAACCCACGTACAGGCATCAAAGTCAACAGCAATAATCATACACAGAATTAAAGAGTTGGAAAATTGTTTGTGGCACCAGTATTTGCACATCTGGCCAGCAAAGATAAGATTATGTTGTGACAGCACAGATTTACTATTGCTTATCTCTTAAGCTAGCAGACTAGTTTTGGTTCGAGTGGAAATGAAGATTAAAATAAAGGTTTGGGTGCAACCTGCTGATATTCAGCTGATTAGCAACTTTGCCCAGAATGCAGATGGTTCCAACTGTTCTCTGGTGGCACAACTGACCCCAATTTTAATTGGATTTCAGTGAAATTTAATTGCACAGGGATGGGTGTGAAATTTCCAAAAGTTTGTTCTGTCAGCGTGTACTTGTAATTCACTGAAAAACCAATTTGTTCAAAAGTATGATTTTAAAAAAAATTATGCTTCCTGATATCTCCTAATTGCAGTTCCTCAAAGCAGATCTGAATTTTCTCAACTTCTATATACACTGCCTGTGTAGTTGGCACAAAAAGGAAGGAGTGAGAAAAGGCTGTTTTCTTATCAGCCTCCACATTGCACTTCATTGAAGCTATCCACCACCCACCCACTATATACCCACCAAGCCCTGCTAGCCATGTGACTGCCATACTTCAACCCTGTATGCATATCTTAATTTGTTTTCAACCCTCCAATGTTGCTTGTCACTCTTCGAAGCCCTGGGGTAATTTCATAGAATCCCTACTGTGTGAAAACAGCCTATTCGGCCCAACAAGTCCACACCGACTCTCTGAAGAGCATCCCACACAGACTCACCACCTACCGTATCCCTGCACTCTGCATTTCCCGTGGCTAATCCACCAAACCTGCACATCCCTCGACACTACGGGCCAATTTAGCATGGCCAATCCACCGAACCTGCACATCTTTGGACTGTGGGAGGAAATCGAAGCACCCAGAGGAAATCCATACAGACACCGGGAGAATGTGCAAATTTCATATAGGCAGTCAACCAAGGCTGGAATTGGACCTGGGTCCCTGGTGCTGTGAGGCAGCAGTGCTAAGCACTGAGCCACCATGCCGCCCAATGTCTTGCCAGAGGTCTCCTTTTAGAGCTTAGCGTTGAGCAGTCTCATGCCGCACACAATCTCATGCTGAGTGTAAAATTTAAGTACCCTCCCAACCCCCCACCCCTCTATTTCTACTGATCTCCTTCACTTTTCTCCATCCACAAACTTTCAATCTCTGGTCACTATCTCAAATCTACATCTCCTTTTCATCCCAACTATCATCTTCCACTCCCCTGTGACATAAATCAGTTTTTTCTCTGGAGCCTCCTCATTTGTCATTTCTGCTGATCCTTACTCCATAGTATTTTTAGCCCTAACAATCACTTGGTAATACAGAACTTGAGTATTGCTGAAGAAAGATCAAAGCTTTTCATTCTGCACACTTCAGGACATGCAAAAATGGCAAATTTCAAACAGAGCAACAATTTATAATGTGTAAATACAGTATAAATTGCTTTTCTCTTTGGGGTTTTGTATTGTAAATGTTGTGATGAACGCTGGAAGATAAGTTTCAGCAGCATGTGCCTGACCCTCATTCCCAATAAGTCATATCACCAGCTGCCTGCATCTCAGAATTGTTGGCTGTGAAGAAACCAAAGTTCATCAAGGTTTGTCATCTGCCTTCCAATAGTTGTACAATTCAGCAGTAATCATAGCAGTCCCTATTCACTTAGTCTCTGTATTCCCCAGCACCAGTGCCTGCACAAAATCTTGCCTTCCTTTTAAAATTTCTGAACACGTTGTCACTTCATGTTAGTTTCTCAGTTAGTCAATGACAGGGCCACGTGTGAAACAGGAAAAATATCGAGTGCGAGAGGGCTTTGAGGAATCATCGGCTCAAACCTACTTGTTCCTTCCAAACGTACCACTCATTCTGTTGATACAGTTCCCTCCTCCTAACCCTCAAGCTTAAAGACTACAGAATCAAGACAGTCAGCTATTGTTTGACTGGCCAATCATCTTGAGGAGTGCTGTGCTCCCGTCTCCTTTTGATCCATTTCTGCTTTGAGGTTCTATTATATTATTCTAAAATCATCCTGAAAGATAAGAAGAACAAACTGATACCTAAATATCAGCTACAAGGAATGTATGGATTCTTTTGTCACAAAGATCAAGATTATGGAGCTGCCTTCCCCTTTCCTATGTTTTTTGCTCTTGATATCCCAATATTCTGGAGTTTCCTCGAGACTTATATCAATCTGACTCATTATCCCTCTGTAGTTTCTCCCTACAATATTTAGTCATGGAATCCATCAGAAGAACTACCTTCACAAACAAAATCAGAAGTTGCTGGAAAAACTCAGCAGGTCTGGCAGCATCTGTGGAGAGAAAGTGACCCTTCTTCAGTCCTAAGTGCGGCACTCTTACTGTAATGAGATGTTAAACCAATGCTCCATCTCCCCTCTCAGGCGTATGTATAAATATCCCATGTAATAATTTTAAAGAAGAGCTGGGCAGTTCTCCTTGTTGTCCTATTTATCTTTAAATCAACATCACCACAAATGCATTACTGTTCATGGGAGCTGCGGTGCGCTAATTGTCTTCCACTTTCAAAATTGTAGATGTTTCCAATTGACCTGTTAAAATATATGTCTGGGACAGGTGGGATTTGAACCTAGGCCTTCTAGTCCAGAGGTGGGGACATGACCACTGTGCCATAGCACCCTTACATATCATATTGTAGCTTCGGTTCCTTTGGCTGTAAAGCATCAAGGGACAGTCTGTCCTAATGAAGATTTATACAGAAGTACAAATCGGTGTTCCTTTCAAACTACTCTTTGTATTTTGATGTTGGAGGTAACATCAATAACCTCTGTAATTAGCTAAGATGTGATTGAGAATGGGTTTGTGCTGCTGTAATTGTTGATGTTGTAAATCACTTTTTTTCTTCTCAGCCCTCTTCAACCTGATTCCTGTGGGATTGCGGGTGGTGGCGATTCAAGGCGTGAAGTCTGGTCTCTATGTGGCCATGAACGGGGAAGGTCTCCTCTACAACTCAGTGAGTACAGCTGCATCATTTCCACACTGTTTGATCAGAACTATCATTGAGCCTCAAGGCCCTGGTCATTCACTGTACACCCTGGGCTACCCAATGCAAATTGAAGTGAGCAGTTTCGTAAGTGTTAGAATGCTTATAGTGTGGAAGCAGGCCATTCAACCCATTGAGCCCACGCTGACCCTCTGAAGAGCATCTCCCACCCACACTCACCACCGCCCCCTCCCCCCCACACTCAAAAGCTCTGCACTTGCCATGGTTAATCCTGCACACTACGGACAATTTAGCATGGCCAATCTGCCTAAGCTGCACAACTTTGGACTGCGGGCAGAAATTAGAGCGCACAGACAAAAGCTACGCAGACCTGGGGAGAATGCAAACTCCACACAGTCAGTCACCTGAGGCTGGAATTGAACATGGGTCCCTGGCGCTGTGAGGTATCAGTACTAACTACTGAGCCACCATGCAGAGGGTTTGTTAGGTTCAACTCAGTTTGTGAACTCATAGGATGGGGGACAATAATCAAAATGATCTCTGAATTCATGAAGTTTAATCATCCGAACTATTGTTGAAATAAAGGCTTTGATTAAATAAGATGTTCACCATCTCGCTTGTTAGCATTGTACTTCCTTTCTCTTCCATGACCCAGTGGGGAGCTGATGCTTGAAGTTGAGTTGAGCTTTGGTCAGGCTCAAGTCTCCTGCGAAGTTGGGTCTTTCCTCTGGGGCCTTTATAGATGTTGGTTATGGGCTCTGAGATCTGTGCCAAACCATCTCCCACTTCTCATACACCATTAAAGGTGGCTTCCTATCTTTAGAAGGAGTGGTGGGAGGGTTTTGGAGAAACAGGATGATCTGGGAGATGGATGTTACACTTAAAACTGTCTCAGGATATTGATGCAGAAGAGCAGTTTTGATAGTGGCTTGGGATCTATTTGTAGCAGCTGTTTTGGTGCTTAATGACTGGCTCAGTCTGTTTTACTAGAGTGGGTAACAATGAAGCCATACATCTATTCATTAGATCGCTGAACAGAACCAGTTTCACACTGTTCTAATTCATCTTTGTGCTAATATTTCCAGTGAGTTTTTGGACAGTTCAGTAAATTGGCTATTTATTTATTGTTTCCATTTCTGCAGTAACCCCTCATACATTTGAAGCCTTGTGGTTAATCGTGTCTCTGCTCCAATCATCAGTTAAGTAGGTTACAGTAACCTGCTAGTTAAACTACCAGACTAATAATTCATTGGTCATAAACTCAAATCTCATCCCTCAACTCTTTGTTCAATTACTCACCAAGGAAACGCCATGATTGCCCAATATGTCTTCTTTCTAGTTGTCTGCTGATTGATGTCTTTTGTTGTTGAGTCAGAGTAAATATTTACCAAGTGTCTGGATGGTGCTGTATTCTGTAATGTACCTTATAAATCTTAAACATTAATGGATCCAAGTCATGTCACAAAAAGATTGCCCAAGAGATCATTGCTGCCTTGAAAGTCTTCATGGAATGTGACAAATATTCACTTGTTTAGCGCTGAATGCTCCTTGTGCCTGATTCAATAACTGTTCATGGTGGGTAGAACTTTCCAGACCTGCTTAGAGCTTTTAACAAGCTGGGGAACTTAATTGGGCAGGAGGAGAAAATTCACCACCGATGGCAGTTTACAGTTATATTTTCAGCGCCTAACGGAGCAGATTCAATGGGCTGAATGGCCTACTTCTGCTTCTATATCTTATGGTCCTCATAGCAGGCAGTTTTCCCAATCTACGTGGTCAGGAATCTGTTTTGTATTCATTAGCATCTCATAAAAACTCATTAACACTCCCAGCCAATTGGAGTCACCTTCATGGGTATAATCTTGGTAGCCAAAAACTAGAACTATGTGTTAACAAATCTGATTCTTTATGAGGTGAGAACATGATGAGGCAGGCTGTTTCCTTAAAGCTCTTCAGTTACTTGGTTTCTTCATAGTCAAGGCAGTTCCTTGTGAAAGGACTTAACATTGAGGGTGAAGGACATAATTTCAGAGGAAAGGGACATCAAGTTAAGACAAGATTTCCTGTCTCAAATGGCAGTGAAACAGTGGAGTTCTTTATTGCAAAAGGCTACTGAGACTGGCTCATTAATATATTCAAGGCTGAGATAGGCAGCTTTTCAGTCAGTAAAGGATGAGGGAAAAGGCATGAAAGTGGATTTGAGGAGTATCACATCAAACATGATCTCATCGAATGGCAGACCACACTTAATGTCAGTTATTTGATGGACTGGATGCATGCCTTATGGTCTAATGATAAATCCTCTCTATGCTGACGACCTCATGAAAAAACTCAGCCATAGGCACTCTGGCTTTTGTTAAACATTTTCAGTGTTATGGCTGAAACCCAAACAGGACAAAGGAAGTCCAGATGCTAAAAGAACCTTTTCTGAAGAAGGGTCTAGGCCTGAAATGTCAGCCTTCCTGCTCCTCTGATGCTGCTTGGCCTGCTGTGTTCATCCAGCTCTACACCTTGTTATCGCTAAAAGAACCTGACTGGGTTAGAAAGGAGGGGGAGGTGCTGAACTCAAGAGAGCTCACTTCCAAAAGCTATCTTTTGTGAGTTTATCCTTGCCTCATGCAAGCTCAGATCCATGCTTTCTCTTTCTTTATTCATTCATGGGATGAGGGTGTCACTAGCTTGGCCAGCATTTATTGCCCATCCTTAATTGCCCAGAGGACAGTTCAGAGTTAGCCACATTGCTGTGGGTCTGGAGTCACATGTAGGCCAGATCAGATAAAGATGCCAGTTTCCTTCCCTAAAGGCCATTAGTGAACCAGATGGGCTTATCTGACAATCAGCAATGGATTTATGGTCATCATCGGACTCTTAATTCCAGATATATATTAATAAAATCAAATTCCAGCAGCCACGGCAGATGGTGAATCTTGCATTTCTTTTTTATGTTTTAAATGTGAATTCTGGTGGATATGAGAGAGGTGGTACTGCTGATGCCAGTTATGCTATATTGGTCTGTGCAGTGCAGTGACAAGCATGGATTGCACCTGAGGCATCTGATGGCTGTGAGACTCTACTCTGCAGTGTCATGTTTACAAAGTGAACCCACACTCGTTGGCACACTAAGCATTGAGTAGGCAGTGGTACATATCCTGGCAAAAGGCAGTGGATCATTCATTTGCTTGCAGTAGTGGAGTCAGTTTCTCTTGAGCTGCCCAGAGGTACTGACCTCCAAAGTTAGCTGTGTCCAGGCTCCCTTCATTTGTTCAATGGCCTCTTGTTGCTGTCTACAGGGAAAAGCTCTTCCCTCCTTTCTTGGACAGCCTTCAGGGGAATTTCTAGGGAGGCATCACAAAAGCAGGGTGGTGCTTTTTGTCGAGTCTCTGACATCTCCATGGGTGGGCAGGGTGACGAACAGAGGATGAGTGATGCTTGTGCATTGCAAAGAGTGCAGTGCTGTCTGATGGCACCCAGGTGTTGGAGATCCTGGCAAGAGACAGAACATCCTGGCCATAAAACTTGGCATTTAATGTCATCGTGCCCCCACTCTGAGTGGAAGACCCTCTCTCTTTTGCACTTTCTCCACATACAATCTCAAAGAAAAGTATTTGAGGTGTTGCAAATGGTACTGAATATTATGCAATCATCCAGGAACATCCTCACCTCATCCCTTATGATGGAGGAAAGGTCATTGATGAAGCAACTGAAGACCGTGAGATGCAAAAATAGTGATTGTGCTTCCTGAGTAAGTCATTGGTTTTGAATGATTCAGAAAGTCTTGTGGATCCGTGCAATGCTTTTCCTTCATTCCTATTATGCGTTTTATTCTTTGGCTTCATCGTTATTTGTGAACAAGTCATCACTGGATCAGGACCCATGGATGGGTGAGTGGTAATGAGGAGGTGTGAAGAGAGACTTGTAGTGCAGTACATCACAGAAGAGGTAAGGTGAGATTTCATAGAGGTATTTAACATTATCATTTGGAGAAAACGTGGGAGAACTGCTTGCAGTGGCAGAAATGTCAGTCACCAGATTTAAGGTAGTTGTAAAAAGACCCAGAGGGAGAGATGAGAACTTATTTATGATGATATAAAAGTGTCCAAAAGGACGATGGAAGCAAATTCAAGAGGAACTTTCACGAGAGAATTTGATAAATACTCGAAAAGGAAAGACAGACTATAGGGAAAGAGCAGGAGAGTGGGATTAATTGGGTATCTCTTTGGAAGAGCTATTATAGACTGAATGCCTCTGTCTGTGATGATCCTTTCAACATTTGGCTGTGGATGCAAGGGTTGTACAGCACTTGTATTGGGTTCTGATTGCATTAGCCGTGTGTCCAAACTCATTCTTGAGTAGTGCAGCAGGCAAGTTCCTCCTTGTTTCTGTCTTTGGCTGTCCATTTGAAGCTTCTAAAAAAGATATTGCCTCATTAAATATTTATTCTGCAAGCCTCTTCAACATAAAAGATTGTTCTCTGCTGCTGCAGTTTCTGGTGCTTTTTTGTAACATTTGACATTAGGAATGTACAGGCCCGACTTTGACAAATATCATGAGGTTTTATCACAAATTTCATAGCTTGTTCACTTGGTAATGACTGACTTATCTGATCTGCTGCTACACTGGAAAGTGACTTAATTCACTTCTGTCAGATTCTGAAGAAGTTTGATAGGGTAGGTTTGGAGATAGTGCTCTACTTGCGACTGAGGTCAGAACTGAGGACTGTGGATTTCAGAGTTGCTAATAAATCCAGTAGAAATTCAGGAAAACATGTTACCCAGAATGGAGCCAGTGTGGAACTGACTACCACGGGGAGTGGTCGAGGAGAATAGCATCAATACATTTAAGGGGAAGCTGGAGAAAAAAGGAATGGAAAGATAGGATGATAGGGGAAGATGAGGAGGTGATGGAGGGGGCTAACATGCAACATTAACACTGACATGGATAGTGTGTGGCAGAAGTTGCCAAATTCCTATTGGATATGGTCTCCCAGTACAGGCTTGTTGGCCTAAACA